AATGCCGGGCTGTGCTTGGGGAGGAGTGGTTGGTAGCCAGCAATGCCTGGCTGTGCCTGGGATGGGGTGGTAGTTGGCGACCTAGTTTTTCTCTCCTTTGGTGTGTTATTTTTATCTCCCTCCCGGCATTCTGCGATATCATCACTGTTGAGTGGGGGATTCCCTGTAGCAGCATGGGGGCAGGTGAATGCCAGATGCTCTGGGTCAATGGCTGTGTCTGCCTGAGTCTAAGAGGCACACTTGCAACGGGGCCTGTGCTGAGCCCGAAAGGGCCTCGGGCCCAGGGCTGCTGCAGCAGTGAGTTTGAACATGGGGGCTGGAATCACGAGTCCCAAGTTTTAGGCCCAGCTCTGCCGTGGCTTTTTGTGGCCTTGGGCCAGGCTGGGCCATAGGTTTCCCCTGCCTCCCAGGAACGGGGCAATTTATGACACTTGGCCCATTCCAGCCTCTGGGGGCTGGTGCTCACTGTGATTGTTCAGCCTTCCCCAGGGCCTCATGGCATTGAGCTTCCAGGAGTACTGGAGTCCTTCTCTCTGGCCTGGGACAGGGTGACAGATATGGGACATGTTTACTGGGCACCTTCTAGAGTCCCTTTTGCCCCTGCCACCAGCTGAGAGCCCACAACAGGAAGCCTGGCAGCAAAATGTCCCCCAAAGTGCCAGGTGCTTAGTCCTGGGGGGTCAGGCCTATGCAGTGCCCTGGGATCCAGATCCAGCAGCGGCTCCCATGCTGTGGGGCTTGTGCATGTGGGGTTAATGCCACTCTTACTTCCCTTCTCTACAGATCTCCGGCCTCTGCCTGACGTTGCCATGACTGGGACCTGCACCCGGGAATGCACGGAGTTCGGCCATTCCGACACCTGCTGGATGCCTGGCCAGTCCTCCCCAAACCGCAGGCCCAAGAATGCCCTGAAGCTCTCCACTTTTGTGCCTTACCAAGAACGGGGGAGTCAAGAGCAAGTTGGGAACAGCAGCCCCAGACTTTCGGAAGAGCGCAGCACCAAAATGGCCAACCTCCGCCTGCTCCCCACATACAGTGCCTTCTCCAACAGTAGCCATGAGCCCTGCAAGGACTCCCCTATGGAGGAAATTCCTCTCACCCAGACCTCGGACTTCCAGCCAGCCACCACCCCCTCGTCTCAAACCACTAAGAGGGAGATCTACCTGTGAGGCTGGGCCCAAAGGATGAGGAGCAGACACTTCTGAGGCCAGTGTCCAGAGGAACATTTGAAACTTCAATGCTTTATCGCTCCTGCAGCCGGTTCTCCAGGTTGTTCCCAGTTTCCACCTCCCTCTGGGTGAGACGCCCCAACTGGCCTCTGAGGACACAGGGCAGGGCAAGGGAGAGGAGGGCCTTTTTAACTCGTTGTCTTGAGGCAGGGTGGGTGTGTGAAACCTAAGGAATTTCCAAGCACTTGAGGGTGCGTCTCTGAACTGCTGTGTCAGGGAGGGCTGGGCAGGCTCTGAGTGCAGAGGACACGGCTGGGGTGAAGGGCTTAGGTACCAAAGGTCCATGCAGAGCTGGTGGAGTTCCTGGGGCACAGGACAGAGGGGTGTCTCCATGCACAGGGAGCAAGCTGCCTGTTGCTTTACTGTAGACTCCTGTAAATATGAATCTTAGGAATGACATTCAAATCCTGCCTGATTGAAACTTTTATTGTCCTTGAAACAAGACATTTCAACAAAACAAACCACAGGGAGCAAGTTCCAGCATTGAATGGTTTGGTGCATGGAAGAGCACAGGGGAGCACAGCTTCCAGTCCACACTCCTGTTCCATATTGTAAATAAAGATGTGATTGGTTCCTCAAATAACAGCTGGGAATGGGAGGAGAGGGGCAGGGGCCTGTCAGTGGGGCTGGAGGCTTTCTGGTTTTACATCCTGGCCCGCTTGCCAAATGCTGTCACTGTGCCCATTGGCTGCAGGGTGCGCAGTGACTGCTCAGTGCCAGAGGTAAGGGCCTATGCTGAGGCGTTCCTTTTGGCTGTGTACCAGTGGATGGCAAAGCTGAAAGAGCCAGGAGCAGGGCTGGGGAGCCCCGGTTTGATAACTATATCTCTGGCTGCAGAGATCCTTGGCTCTAGCTCTGCTGGAGAGAAGGGAGGCACAGGCCATTGGGCCTCACCCCATCCCCTTGTGCCTGCTGTAGTGCAGGGAACTCCCATGGGGCCATCTGTGCCATGAACTTGACCTTTGACCTGTCCGCCTGTAAGCCACCATTTGCCTTTGTGAGGAGGAGCTTTGTCTCAGGGTCACACCAGGGGCCACTGGCCCCTGTGAGCTGGAGTCCCACTGCCCTTAGGCCACAGAGCCACTCTCAAGGGCTCCAGCATTCTCTTCCAGTGTCAAAGGTCATCCAGTCTCCCGGGGGTGGGCACCCTAATGCCGTGCCAGGTGCCAGCAGCATATGAGCTCCCCTTCACAGGGTACCAAATCCAGGGAGACACTGTGCAGGGTAGAGAGGAAGGATGGGTGGCATCAGCTTGAGCAGGTGCCTGTAGGAATGGCCCTTGGCATGGCCAGCCTGAGCAAGATGTGGATCAAAGGGGTGGCCCTGGTGGGACACAGGAGCTCCTCCTGGCTCTGCTTGAACTCTCTTGCTCTCTTGGAGGCCTTGGAGCTGTTCTGGTGACTTGGTTTCTGTCCCATTCTCAACTGTTCCAGCTCTGGTCTGACCCCCTGCTCCAGACGGGACAGCCCAGGTGTCTGGAGCAGGGTGAGGGTGACTCATGCCTCATTCTCTCTAGGGTACCTTCCTTCCTCTCCTTATCCAGTAGGAGTGCTAGGAGGAGGGTGAGATGCACCATTATTCTTCCCTTCCAATCTCCTCAGCACTCTTCATTGCTCAGCTCTTCCTTGGGGAGTGAGGCCAATAGCAGCTTCAGGATAACATCCCCTTTCCTATCTTTGGTCCATGCTTGACCTTTGAACACAGGGGGATGTGGTGGGGACATTGTGTGTCTGCTGACTGGGCAGCCTTTCCTCTCTGGTGCCTGTGGGTGGTTCTGCAGGACTTGTTCAGCACTGGGTGTTTCCTGCAGGGAGAGGGCATTGCAGCCCCATCCCATCAGGCCCAGAGGCCTGCAATCCCTGCACTGAGTCTTGGGGGGTTCGGGGCAATGGCACTTGCCCTGCCTTGCCTCCTGGTGTTCAGCAAGTCCCTTGCTGAATAGCTCCTGACCCTTTGCTCTGGCAGTGGTGATGGGATATGGCCAGCCTCATGGTGTAGCTTCCTCAGGGCCGTGTGGCCTGATGGACACAAGCTGAACCAGGTCTGCCCAAGGCCGAAAAGGCACAGAGCTGACAAGGCCTGCAGAAGGGCCGCAGAAAGCGAGGCTCCTAGCTGCCCTACCCTGCCTGCTCCCCCAGCGCCCTGTTCTTGTGTCACCCTTTCCCGGGTGATGTGATGGGGGACTGTCCCACCACAGTTCATACATCTAGAGGTGCCGCTTAGGGGAGTCAGGACCCTCCTTCCCATCTCTCCTGTCACCGCTCCCCTGCTTGGAGGGCACTGATCCAGTGGGTCTCTGTGGTGGACATGGCCTCCAGGTGGGTGTCCGTCCAGGCATACCTGTTCTGCTCTGCTGGCAGTGTTGTGGGGCCCGTGCTCCCCCTGGCCTGGCTGCCTGAGCACGTCACTTTCCTGAATATGTTTTTATTGTAGTTCTAGTTTCAGGGCCTAACTGGGCAGAATGTGCAATTTGGCCACCTAGGCCAGGATCCTTGATTCCTCTGCCAGCTCAGATGCTCACTCCCCGCACCCAGGCTCGGGTCTGGGGCAGCATCCCTCTGGGGCAGGCTCCCCAGAAGAGCTACATGACCTACGCAGATGAGGGTCACTACTTCCAAGAGGGAAAGAGTGGGCCCTGGCTCTTCCCATGGCCTGGTCTGCAGGATGGCCTCCCTACTTGCTGCTTGGGTCACTAAGGGAACCCTGAGGCTCACAGCCCTTTGGTTTGGTTCAGCAGCTGCCTGAGGCAGCACAGCAGCTCACTCAGCCTGAATACACGGTCATCTGTGCTTCGCAGTCCCTTTCGTTTGGGACTGAGGGGGGAATCTGCCTGAGGGGGAAGGGCAGATGTGGTGCTGGGATCAGCCCAGTGGGGAGGGGTGCTGGGATCAGCCCACATGTGAGGGCTGAGGTGGTGCTGGGATCTGCCCAGGGTGAGTGTGTAGGTGGTGCTGGGGATCAGCCCTGGGGGGGGGAGGGTGGAGACGGTGCTGGGATTGGCCATGGGGGGAGGGGTTCTGGGGTCAGCCCCAGGATTCGGGTGGAGGTTGTGCTGGGATTGGCCTGGGGGGGGAGGGGTTCTGGGGTCAGCCCCCAGGATGAGGGTGGAGGTGGTGCTGGGAACAGCCCAGGGGTGAGGGCGGAGGTGGTGCTGGGGATTTGCCATGGGGAGAGGGTGCTGGTGCTGGCAGGGAGAAGCTCATTTGCACAAAGATAAGCCAGAAGGATAAAGCCTCTGCACATGGGGGAGAGAAGGCACCCCACAGGCTCCGGTCTAGACAAGCACAGTGAAGGGGGGTAGGGAGTTACAGGTGCCCCTCAGGGAGGGAGGGGCATTCATTGTATTTAACACTGCACTAGGACAAGCCAGGGGGTAAAACCAAAGGTGGGAGCCAGGGAGCAGTCGGGCTGTGTGGGAAGGATCCAAGCGACCCCATTGTAGCTCTTCAGTGTTGGTTCTATTTATACGAGATTTCATTTCCTTGCTTGTGATGCCTTGTTTTTTGTACAGTTTTATGTACATGCAGGTGTAGCTTTTCTAAAGGAGAAATCCTATATCAGAGGAAAGTACCCAGCTATTTTTCAGATGGTGACCTATGTCTAAGGCAGCGCCTCTTGCTAAGGTTGTATTGCTCTCAATGTGTGATGCATTTCCCTGTGCGGGGAAGGCTTTGGGCCTTGGGTTTGGTTTTTCCCAGGCACTGTGAGCACAATTGATTCCCTTGTAATTCTTTCTGTTCGGAGCAGTGAGCATGACACCTTTGTGAGCCCCTTTCTGTTCTCTCCCCTTCTGTTTGTTTGCTGAGCTGTCAGATGACAAACTCCATTGTAATTAGCCCTTCCCAAAGCTTTACAATAAAAGTGTGAAAACCCGGATGCTGTGCCGGCTGGATTCTTCCCCGGGGGTTGTGTCCTTAGAGTCAGGGAGAGGACTGTGTGCATGAGGGGCTTTGCACGGGCTTACTGCCTCCCTGCTTCCTCTCCTCAGTCCCACAGCACTCCCTCGCTGTGGGGAAAAACCCATGGCCACCCACCGAGGCTGAGAGCTTGGCTCATCCATTCACCATTACCCCATTTCCAGAGTAGGGTGTTTCCAGGTGGGGCCTGAGAACGGATCAACCACAAGGAGCAAATCAGCCACCCTTGCCAGGCCCTGGCCAGCAGTGCCCTGGTGCTAGCCCTGATTAGCTCAGCAGGCCTGACTCAGGTGCAGCGCCCAACTCTGGCTCAGTGCCTGCATGCCTGTTCCCTTGGGATGCCAGGGCGGGGTCCCCAGTGAGACAGGCAGCCAAAGAGGCATGCCTGCCTCCCCCTAATACTTACCATGTCCTGGCTCTGCAGAAGGCCCAACTGCTTCAGGCTCCTTCCTGAGAGCTTGTCTGTGCCAGCCTGTCCCCTGACAGCTGACACCTGCCCGCTTTCCAGAGAGGGAATTTTAACTGTTTATAGCCCTTTGATCAGTTAGTTCTCAGCCTGGCAAAGCAGCTATGTCACTTCTGCCTGGGGCCGTGAATATGCCACTGGCCTGTAATTGTCCAGCCAATGTTTGCCAGGAAGGTGCTTAGCTAGAGCCATTGATTTTTTTCCCTGCTTGTTTTTCCAGCAGCCCCCAGTTCGGCTAGAACAACACATTCCAACCAGGGAGTGTAATACACACCCACACCTCAGCAACCAGGTCACAAACACTGGTCATCAGCTTATCACAGCTCAGGGCTAGTCTACACTAGAAGTGCTACAGGGCACAGCTGCACTGCTGTAGTGCGTCTGGTGAAGACACTCCATGCCGACAGGCATAACATCACCTCCGCGAGAAGCAATAGCTATGTCGTGGGAGAAACTGTCCTTTCATCAGTGCTGTGCTCATCAGTGCTTAAGTCAGTGTAATGTACGTCCCTGAGTGACATCAGTTGTACTGCAGAAAACGGTAGTACACCTGGCCTCAGTGCTGCGATATTGTTACACAGCATCACCACGTCAGTCACACACCCCACCCACTCACCATGGAGCTGAGCTCTGGGAATGGAGAGGGGGGTGCTATGAGGCTCAGTAATGAGAACCTCCACCCCCACCCAGCTACTCCTCAGGGCACAGTGCATTGGGAATGGGGATGTCCGTGGATTCAGTGCCAATGGAAGTGTGATGTGTGCTTGGCAGCCCTGTGCAACACTCAATCCCCTGCAGTGACTCCTGCCCCGAGGCACACTGACACAGGCTGTCTCTCAGCCCCCATGGGTGCCCCAATATCAGGGCGAGAGCAGCAGCTGGTAGGGATGAGACAAGAGCAGCCTCTGTCAGGAAAGGGATAGACAATAAAACAGAAAATATCATAATGCCACTCTATAAATCTGTAGTACCCCCACACCTTAAATACTGCATGCAGATCTGGACACCACATCTCAAAAAAGATGTACTAGAACTGAAACAGGTACAGAAAAAGGCAACAGAAATTATTAGGGGTATGGAACAGCTTTTGTATGAGGAAAGATTAAAAAGACTTGGACTTTTCAGCTTGGAAAAGTGACAACTAAGGAGGAATATGACAGAGGTCTATAAAATCATGAATGGTGTGGAGAAAATGAACAAGGAAGTGTTATTGTCCCCTGCACATAACACAAGAACCAGTGGTCATGCAATGAAATTAATAGGCAGCAGGTTTAAAACAAACAAAAGGAAGCACTTCTTCACACAACGCACAGGCAACCTGTGGAACTCGTTGCTAGGGGATGTTGTGAAGGCCGAAAGTATAACTGGGTTCCAAAAAGAATTAGATAAGTTCATGGAGTATAGGTCCATCAATGGCTATTAGCCAGGGTGGTCAGGGATGCAGTCCCATGGTCTGGGTGTCCCTAAACCTTTGACTTCCAGAAGCTGGGAGTGGACGACAGGGTATGGATTACTGCTAATTACCCTGTTCTGTTCATTCCCTCTGAAGCACATGGCATTGCCCACTGTCGGCAGACAGGATACTGGGCTAGATGAACCATTGGTCTCCCTGAATATGGCCATTATTAGGTTATTATGGTCTCCGTGACAGCCCAGGATTGGCCTGCTGGACAGCTGGTCAGGGATGCAGCCCTGCCTTGGGCTTCAGTGACAGGCATCAAAGGGACATCCTAGAGATCAGCCTAATGGACAAGGTGGGGGTCCAGAGACCCACCACCACCATGATCAGCCTCCCCAACAGATGCCATGGGGACCTCGCCCCCATATCAGTCCCAGCAAGAGATGCCACAAGAACCTCCTCCCACAGATCAGCCCCATCAATGGGTCGGGGATGGGTGGGGTCAGTGTCTAGGGGCGGGGATGGGTCTGGTGAGTGTCCTAGGGAATGGGAGGATGATGAGTTGAGTTGGCATCTAATCCAAGGGATGAGTCAGCTCAGTGTCTAGAGTATGGGATGGATCAGTCTGTGTCTCTGGGGGGGAGGGTCAGTATCTGCAGGTAGGGGAAGGGTCGGTGTGTGTTGGACAGCCGTTCTCCCTCCCTGTCCCAGAAGCGGTGGGTGAGACTTTGCTCCAAGGCTGGTGCCCACCTTGCTTTGGGCACTTGGCCTTGCTCTCTCTGACCTGGCGCTGCAGCTCCTGCCCCACAACACTTCAGCCCTCGCTCTCTGTCCAGCCCCCAGCTGGGGGCTCTGCATGCATCTCTAGGGTGCTCCCTTGGAGGCAGTGCTTCTCCACCCTGCAGCTGGGCTGGGGAGTGGTGGGGTGGCACTACTGCCCTTGTAGCCCCTGCCCCTCAGCAGCTTCCATTCCTGGGGCTTGGTCTGCCGCACACTCTTTGCGCCCTGTTCCCTAGGCTCAGGCCCCTCCCACCTCCGCTCTCTACTGCCAGTTGCCACGGTTTGTACAGCTTCATGGGTGTGATGTATGAAAATGATAACCTGAGGAAATTTGCATACATACTCATAATTTGCATAATAACATAACTTTCTTCTTCTGGTCAGCACATCCTGTCCCAAGCTGTGGTGGAGCCGGCCTTGGCAGCTTGAGGTTGGGGGAGATAGGTGGGGGTTGGGTCAGCAGGCTGGATAGCAGGTTTCTTGGGCAGTGGGTGCTGGAGAGTAATGGTGGGCTAGGCCTTCTGGGTGTTGTATGGGGCTGATGCTACAGGCTGGAGTGACTAGGTGCTGTTGGGGTTGGGTGGGGTGCTGGGACATCTGTGGGTGTGGGGGTAGGTAGGTTGGTGCTGGAGTCAGTTTGGGGGCCTGGTAGGTGGGGGCAGGGGTCCTGCTGAAGGTCAGGGATTGGAGTTTGGCTGGGGGCGGGAGGTTTTTCAGGGGGCTACGGGCTGACTGGAAGGCAGAAGGGCTGGGGTACTGAACCCTCGCACCTTCTGTCCCCCCCAGGCCATGCGTCTCTGGCTGCTCCTTCCCTGCCACAGCTCCGGGGCAGCAGCCCACGCAGATAGACTATGCCCTGGCTGCCCAAAGCCACGGCATACAGCAACCATGGGGGAGCTGCATCTCCTGCAGCATGTGAGTCTCTGGCTGAGCTGCAGGAAGGCATGAATGCCCCTGAAGTGGCCTCCTCTCCCACCCCCCCAGAACAGTGCGGGTCACCCCAGGGCAGGCACACGGTGCCACCTCACAGCCCACTGAAGTGTCCTCACATGGGCTGCAGCGAGGAGCCAGGTCTCCCCTTCAGCTCCCCATCTAGGACTCCAACGCTCCCCCTTCCCTGCTCACTGCCACCCCGCTGGCCCTGCCCCTCTCTCAGGAGCACAATAGGGAGTGGGAGGGGCTCAGCACTCTGTTGTTTGGGCCTGAGCAGCTCGGTCACCCCAGTGGTAGCCATGGAGGGACGAGGATGGCACCGGGGGCTTCCAGTGAAATTCAGGGGGAGACAGATTGGCTCATGGCAGGACAAAGGGCCAGGGGAAGGGGGACAGGCAGGGCA